CTGGGATCATGACCTGAGCCGAAGGCAGTTGCTTAACCAACTGAGCCACCCAGGCGCCCTGGCTGATTGTTTCAGGAGGGCGTCGGAGGGTCTCCCGTAGATGCATAACACTCTCCGCAACCTAGAGACAGCTGAGGCTAAGGACAAGCGAGTGACCCCTGGTCACACAGCCCGCGGGTCAGCCTGGGCGTCCCACCGCTCCGGCCCCCTTACCCTGAAGAGTGCCGCGTCCTGCTGCGCCCGATAGCCCTGCCGGGCTGCGTGCTTCCAGGGGATGCGGAAGAGGGTCTTGCCTGCGTCCTCCCAGCGCAACCCCGCGTAGCGCCCGCTCTCGATCTGTGCCACCAGCCAGTCGCTGAGGCGCAGGGGACCCCCGGCCCCCGCCATCGGTCGCCTGCCGTCGGGGACCTTCCCTTCCTCCCTCCACCAGGGGTCGCCGGCCATCCGGGACGCCGGGAGCCAGCGGCCAGGTCTGGGGCGTGTGGCGGCTGGGACCCCAGCGCGACAGGGAGTCGGGAAGCCACCTGGATGGCGTGCGGAGGCGGCGAAAGCGAAAGTTCTGGATGGGCGAGTTTCGCTTTCTTTTCTGTCCCCCTGATCCGGGAGGCCCTATCCTTTCGCCCTTCTCTGTGGTAGCCTGGCTTGGAGGGCGTCGCGCTGCCGCACGGAGGGGGCAGTTAGAGGCGCGGTGGGACGCCAAGACCCACTGGAGGGTACGGGGAGGATAGCCAGGGATCTGTCTGTCCCCGTAGAGGGGCCCCGGCGGGCACCCAGAGGCGTCCCTTGCGCCACCCGTGCACCTGTTCTCTGTTCTTCCCAGCCTGTGGGGAACTCCCAGATCTTTTCTAGCACCTGGACTGTACAGGTTGTAAAGCCATAGTGCTTCTTGGACTAACTCCCATCAGAATTGGGAGGCAGAGACTAGTTTAAAATGTACACTCCTTGCCTCCATACCAGACCTGCAGAAAAAGACTTTCTGGGCAAGAAGCCAGTAATCTGCCTTTAACGAGTTCTCCCGTGGGATTCTGATCCAGGTGGTCCGTGGGCCACACCTGGAGAAATACTTCTTTAAATACTGGGAGTCCTCATCTACTGATGGCTCACTATGGTGTTGGCCTGGCTAAAGCCTTTCCTGCAGGGTCTCTGTTCTCACCACAGCGTGTGAGATGAGTCTACCCATTTTATTATTAAGAAGAATAAGGCTCAGAGAGGTTAAAGCCCTGCAACAAGGTCATAGAGCTAGTACGTGGAGGCAGTCAGGACCTGAACCTCTGTCTCTCTGCCCCCAAAGCCCAGGAGCCTAAAAAGTGCCCCACACTATCTCCCAACAGCTTACACCTGGGGTTTAGGGACACCCCTCCCCCAGAAAGTATATACAATTTTTTTCATGTTTATGCATTTTCCTAGGGTTTGTATCTTTCATTTAATTGTCAAAGGGAGTTTGCAATTTGAAAGAGGGCAAGTAGCTCAGGCCACTCCAGCCTTTGTTGTGTACACAGGGAAACTAAAACTCCGAATGAGCACAGAGCTGGATGCCCGGTCAGCGTTGACCGGAGGCTGGGAGTACTGCCCTTCATGTGCACCTGTCAGGGGGGGCCTTCTTCATGCTCCCCACCCTCTGTTCTCCCATGCCAGCAGCCACTCAGTTCTGAGCCCTCTACAGTTAAAGTCATGATTCGGACTCACCTGTAGGCCTCTGGGGGGAGGGGGAGAGGGGGCTCAAAGCATCTCATAGGAATAAATCCAAGTGTAATAATTACATCTAAGTGGGAATCTTAAGTGTGTCAGACAATCTTTTCATTTTTCTGGGTGGCAAAGTCATAGTGATTAGGAGGATAGGGTTCCCTCAACTTTCCAGCCAGACTGCCTGGATTCAAATCCCAGCCCCACCACTTGCCAGCTGGTGACCTTGGACATCAAACTCAGTTTCCTGAGGAGGCTGGGCAACAGGTGAGGATTATTTCATCCATCCTCCCACCCCCAATACTGGAATCTGGGCTTCCCCCACAGCCCTGAACACAGTGCTTGGTGCATAACAGGGACCCCATACAGGTGGCTATTAGATTGGAGTCTTTTCAGACCCCTCTCAATTCCAAGTTACTTTTAGTTCAGAAAACTCAGCTCGGATGACCTCTGTTCACCCTTGGGACAGTTTGCTGCTTGCTTGGGCTGCCCCCTGGCCTTTAAGCTCTAGGTGGGAAGGGTCTTGAGTGGAAGAAGATATTTGCAAATGATATATCCAATAAGGAGTTAATATGCAAAATATATAAAGAACTTATACAAGTCACCACCAAAAGGCACCAAGGAACTACTTCTTAACAGCCACCATGGGACACAGACTGCCTAGGTTTAAATCCAGCCTCCCCTACTCTAGCTGTCCTCAGGCAAGCTGCCTACCCTTTCTGAGCCTCAGTTTCCTCGTGGGGATTAAGTGAACCCATGCATATAAAAAGTCAGGCATGAAGGAGGCACTATTTGGACAGCTTACTAGCTAGTATTTGTGAATAGGGAAGAGGAGGGAGCTGGTGAGAAGGACTCAGAGGGGGAAGGGGGTTCAGAGAGAAGGAGGGATTCAGGGGCCTTTTCAGGAGACCAGGGCTTCAGGGAGAGATATGGGGGGGGGGTGGCTCAGGGCAATGAATGGAGTCCTGGAATTCAGCTCTGCCCAGAGCAGTTTTTGGGAGGTGGCAGGCTCCTCCAGACCCTAGGGGATGCAGACCCCCTCCCAGCCCTGTTTCCTGCAGGCTCCAGCCCCAGGCAGAGTCCTGCATCCCTGCCCCTTGCTGAATGACTAGGAGGAGCTCAGACAGACAGCTTCTGTGTCTCTTTAATATCCTCCAGGCCCATCCACCCGCTTCCCCCACCCACCCACTCCCACTCCCGCTGCCTTTAAGGGTGGAGGCCCGGGTGCCCCCTCCCCCCAGCCCAAGGACTAAGGCACCAAGTGGCTGCAGCAGGCCCAGCCCAGACACACAGACGCACGGATGGAGGACGGACAGACTGCAGACGCAGACAAGCAGGGCGGGCAGCAGGGGCAGGGGCAGGGGCAGGGCTCAGGCCGCCGCGGGGCTCCCGCAGGCTCCGGGCGCGTCCTGGGGGCCGTGGGAGGCCCAGGCAGCCCCGAGGGTGGGGGTGGGGGTGGGGGACCGGTCGGAAGGAAGAGGGGCGCCAGGGCGGGCCGGGATCCTCACTTGCCGCCTTTGCGGGACAGACACCGCGGGAGGCAAGAGAAAGTCTGCTTGACGCGCGCCAGCAGGGGCAGCGGCCGGTGGGCCTCGCGGGGCGGCCGCGGCA